GTAGAGACGGGGTTTCACCATGTTGACCAGGATGGTCTCGATCTCTTGACCTCGTGATCCACCCGCCTCGGCCTCCCAAAGTGCTGGGATTACAGGCTTGAGCCACCGCGCCCGGCGCTTAATCTTGCTTTTTTGGCCAAAAGCCCTTTCTTCAGCATTCTGAGTTAACACGGCTTCCTTATAAGCTCCCCTCCCCAGGTGGACAGTCTTATTTTCAAAGACAAGCTCCAACTCAGCAAATTATCACTGTAAACAAAGCTTCAGGGAAGAGACATGACTCTCACTTTAAAAGCTTCATGTCAGAGATAGCCAAAATCATGTGACCACCAGCCCCAGTTCAAGTAGTATGCCCAAATCATCACAAAATAGGATTCCCTTCCTATTTATTAATTTTTAAGGGAACTAGGAAGACAAACTGATTAATCTAAAGGTGAGAGGTATCATTTTCTCAGATGCTCCAAGTAGGCTTCTCATATCCCTGAAAGGTTATCAGCTAAAGAGAGCTTCTGAGGCTAACTGCAAAAACATGGTCAAATGTAAAACTGCGGTTTTGGAGGCAGGGTGTGTGAAAGGCTGCTGGCATCCAAAGGAGAGCATGCCTAGCCTTTCTGGGCTCCTAGGACCTGTGGTGACCTCAAGCCAGCTGATACACAGACAACAGTATCTTTTAGGGATTGCAGCCAATGCTCCCGATTTACTGTTTTTTTTTTTTTATGGAACGCTTCACGAATGTGTGTGTCATCCTTGCGCAGGGGCCATGCTCATCTTCTCTGTATCGTTCCAATTTTAGTATATGTGCTGCCGAAGCGAGCACTGCTTTTTTTTTTTAACCTTAAAATCTCAAACGTTTCATTTTTAGGTGGTATCTCAAGTGACACAGAAACACAGCTACCCTGGATGGTGAAGTAAGTCTCCACTGCAAAACTCACCACAGAGCACGGAGAATGGCTCTGGGGTGCTCTCACCTGCTCCAGGTTAGATGGGTGCCCGGATGGAGGCAAGGCTGAGCCACTAACTGGACAGCT